GGCAGCCTGAGCTGACTAGTACAACACTTTTATTGATACACCTTATAAAGTTTATGGACTGAGGTATTACACTCATTTTTTTAAGCTGGAGAAACCATTGTCCAGAAGTTAAAACTATTTATCCAAAATCACAGTGCGAACTGTTAGGGAAACCTAGCTCAATTCAATACTATTTACACATTTAACATGTGTTAGGGGCAGGGGGATGTGAATACAAATACAATAGGTAAAGTAATCCTTGCTATCAGGTAGCTTATGCCACCTACCTCAAGTGGGGAAAATAAACCCAGAAAAAAAATATGCTCAAGTCATAAGTTTAGTTTTTATTTTGAAAAAGGAATATGTATTTTGAATGGGCCAAGGATCAGAACAGACCCTTCATAAGACTTTGCAGATTTCTTGACAACCGTGTGCCACCTGTTTAAGCAATAGAAGAATTAAGGGATTTTAAAGTGTTTTAGTTCCTTGTAAACATGTTTTTTTAAATATATATTTTTAGTGATTTCAAAAATAAACTAATCTCATTTAAAGAAATCTAAAAGAGCCCTGGTGGGTTTGGCTCAGTGGTTGGACCATCAGCCCGCAGGCTGAAGGGTCTCGGGTTCCATTGCTGTCAAGGGCAGGTACCTGGGTTGCATGATTGATCCCCAGCACATCAGCATCAGTCTGGGTGCGTGCAGGAGGCAACCGGTCGATGTGTCTTTCTCACATTGATGTTTCTCTCTCTGTCTCTCCCCTCCCTTCCACTCACTCTAAAAAATCAATGGAAAAATATCCTCCGGTGAGGTTAACAACAACAAAAAGTCTGAAAGACCAAATAGTTAATTTATTTAAGACTTGTTAAAATAAAAAGTTATACCTAAGCCCAGCCAGCATGGCTCAGTGGTTGAGCACTGACCTATGAACCAGGAGGTCACTGTTCGATTCTCGGGCAGGGAACATGCTTGGGTTGTGGGCTCCATCCCCAGTGTGGGGCGTGCAGGAGGCAGCCAATCAACGATTCTCTCATCATCACTGATGTTTCTATCTCTCTCTCCCTCTCCCTTCCTCTCTGAAATCAATAAAAATATTTTTTAAATGAAAAAGAGAAATTAAAAGTAAGGAAAGAGCAATGAAAGAGGAATGGTAGATAGGCATAAAGTAATATATCAAATTGTAGTATGATGTAGTTAACAGGAATGGAGTCCATGTTCTTATGGGGTAGGAGGTATTCCAGAGGCTTCCTTTCACACGATGTCTCCCCAACTTCCAAACATAAGCATGCATGTTACTTCTTTTAGCAGAACTCAAACCAAAAACAGTAATCACCCTTGCTAATTAGTGCTGAGTGGGCCAGGGTCTAGGCAGAATAAAATGACAAAATTTAGGTCAGAACTTAAAAGACCTACGGACTGGAAATGGAGCTTTAGATGGGTAGCTAATCTGTCTGGGATAAAAACTGGCATTAATTCCAAAGGAAGCATATAGGAAGACAGGGAAGGGAAAAAATGAGCCTCCATGTCTCAAGGCCTTTCCCAGGAAACTACTGATAGTTCATGGTTAGAACTGATTCGAGAGCATGATCTGTTTTAGCATCATCAGGCAGGGCTCTTTAGGACCAAAAAGAACCCTATCTACTAATCAAGAAGTAACTAATCACAGGCTCAACTGTGAGGTATAGAAATTAGTGGACCCTGGGAACTAAATTTCTGGATTGAGTATTGCTATGCTTTTATGGGAATTAATTCAACAAAAATGTTTTAAGAATCCACTCTGTGCTAAGTGCTGGAGATCTAAAGATCAGTCTTAAACTTAAAGGAGTTCAATCCAGTGTCAGAGAATGAAATTTAAACAGATACTTATTATTAATATAGTAAGTACAGCAATACTATGTACAGGGGAACATTAAGCCACTGTGGAAGGGGAGTTGCGTGGTCAGGCTAGTCAGGCCATTAAGTAGGCAAAAGAAGGGATTCTTACATAGAGGAGTCTGCATAAAAATTCTATTACACAATAGTAGAATATTGCTGGAGCAGAAGATGACTGGAAATGTAACCAATATTGGGTTGTTGAAGTTAAGGACCTTAAACTTTACCCTGTAGACAATGAGAAGCCATTAAAGGGTTTCTTTTAGCACGTTAACGTGTCATTCTGTTGTTTTCTGGCCTCATTGTTTCTGATAAGAAACCAGCTGTAATTCTTATCATTGTTTTCCTGAATGTCTTTTTTTTCTGGCTGCGTTTAAGATTTTGGTTTTTTAATCTTTGTTTATCATCATTTACACTATGTTACTAGGTGTGGTTTTCTTTGTATTTATCCTGCTTAGGTTCACTTATCCCTGTTTCTGTAGATTGCTGGTGGTTGTTGCTGTTTTCTCGTTTGTCAAATTTAGAAAACTTTCGGCCAAATATTGCTTAAAATATTTTTTTTCTGCCCAATTTCTCTCTGCTCTTCTGAGATTATACTTATGCTAAACTTCTTATCCTTAATACATGCGATTCCAGGCTCTGTTCATTTTTTCCAAGTCCTTTTCTTTCTATATTTTGGTCTGGGTAATTTTTTTTTGAGAGCCAGTGTCTAGTAATTCTTGGAAAACCTGAATGTTAACATTTTTCCAAAAACACAGACACCCTACTAATGACTATGGGTTTATTTGGGGAAGGTTTGGAGACACATTAGTGAAGAAAATAGAAAATATAAATCACAAAATATTACAACAGAGAGAATTTAGCACTGGATGTTGGTGTGAGGCAGGAAGTAAAGTTCCTTGGCAAGTGCAATGGGAAAACAGAGAGCTGAACAAACTGGCAGAGCAATATATAGTCAGATAATAAATCACAAGATCTTATCTTACACATTCTAGACCTTGTTGGGGCAGACCCAGACCCCCTTGGTCTCAGTCCCTTTTAGGAGACATTCTTTGAAGGTGAAACTGACCAGAGAATGACCTATGACAGTGATGGCGAACCTATGACACGCATGTCAGAGGTGACACGCGAACTCATTTTTTTGGTTGATTTTTCTTTGTTAAATGGCATTTAAATATATAAAATAAATATCAAAAATATAAGTCTTTGTTTTACTATGATTGCAAATATCAAAAAATTTCTATATGTGACACGGCACCAGAGTTAAGTTAGGGTTTTTCAAAATGCTGACACGTTGAGCTCAAAAGGTTCGCCATCACTGACCTATATGCTCATTTTGAGGCATCAGCATATTAAAGGACCACTTGGAAACTGATGAATATTCTATTGAGATCCTCCCAAGACCTGCCCTAAAATTCTGGCTTTTAGAAAATAGACAAAACCCCTTAAGACAAGGGACCCAGTGTGTGGGCTTTCTTGTTAGAGCATGCCATGCCTTCTTTCTTCAGGCATGTATCTTTGCTTTCTTTCTCCTAATCCCTTAAGGGTCCCCACAAGACTTGCAACCAAGGGAGCAGTGGGCAGCAGCAACCGGTCCTGGGCTAACCCTCTGAACCTGTCTCCAAGGGCCCTTCTTTTGCCTCTGTAACTTGTTTCCTGAGTCCACGAGCCCAGCTGGCTCATTTCTTCTGCCTCTGTGACTTTCTTTCTAAAAAGCCAAGGCAGCTCTCTGAGCAGCCCGCTCAAATATTTTCTTCGACTGTACTTTCACATTGCATGCTAAATAAACTTCCTCTTGTACTAGAGTACTTGGCCCTGAATTCTTTCTTTGCCAAACTCAAGAACCAAGAGCCAACTTCACTGGTAACAGATGGGCTGAAAAAGCAAAAAGGGAATACTGAAGTAGCCCATAGGTGATAATTGTAGAGTATTTCACTAAATCTAGTGAAAAAGAGAAATTGAGGTTGGACTATCAGGTCTCAGAATCTCAGAGGAATGATCCAGCTGAACTGTAGCTCCAATCCCAAGAGAATGCTGTCCATCTGATCCTGCTCCTAATAAGGGATATGATGAGGCTGGTTGGGGTTAGAGGTGTGCCAAAAGCTGAAGGCTGAAATCAGTTATTGATCAAGGGTTCATTGCTTATTGCTGAGGTAACAATGCCAGAAACTGTAAACAAATGGAAAGTAGGAAGTCCTTTTGTCCCTGCTGACTTCCAGTATCCCTCTAATGGCCTTTATTGGTGGAACCTAGTGAGGCATCAGCTAACATAGGAAAAATGTAGTTTGTAGAGTCTGAGCCATAGATCACAGAGGAAAGTGTAGAAAGGTGAATTTGGAGCTAAGATATCTCAATAACAATAACAATAGCTTAATAACCAGTACCATATCAACATTGGTTTATGCAAAATTTGTAAAAATTTCCCAAATTAATGCCACCTTATATGCTTTTACAGACTTTTAGGCCCTTTAAAAAAGAATCTGAAGACACCATGTTGTATCAGTTTTCTGCTATACTATATTACTGCTAGTGCCTTTCAGGGCTAAGGAGTACCTTCACTGAAGCTATACATATACTGGCTACAAAATCTAAACAAGGGCAATTTTGGAAGAGATCCTATAACTGAGGATAAGCAGACCTTGCCCCAACATTAGGCCTCGCACCATCAGGCAAAAAAAATAAATAAAATGGCTAGACTAAGTAGAACTGGCAAGAATCCAGTCTTCTCCCTACGTCCATTTCCTATGCATTGTCTAAAGTGGCCATTGCAAGAGGAAGACCAACTTCCTGTTCTAAGGTAGGCTAAGCACCATTGTCAGGGAATAATCAGCTCCTTTCTTTTATTCCCTCTTCTTGCCTGAACTCAAGCTTCCTTGCCCAACCCAATCACCTCTAGTTTTCTAACGCACGTAGATGACAAAACGGAGGTTGGTGTTCAGCATTTCACCTTATAGTGTACTTTTCACAAATGCCAATTTTTGAATATTGAAGGATTTTTGTTGAACATTTGTAAAACATTGGGCATGAACATTTTTCTAATCTTTGAACTTTAGGACCACAGAAGTTCCATTTGAAAGGGGTCATTTCTTCCATGAAAGTTAACATTCCCCTTATACCACAATTACCTTTTGTTAATAACAATGAAGACAAGGGTTCATGACATTTCATATATTTCATGTTTGTTTTTTAATATAATAGACTAGAATATATTTCCTATATCTGCATATGTTAAATATTATATAGCACTCTGTCAATTATACAACACAAAAAATAGGTGAATATTAAAATGGCAGTGTACGTATTAATAACTGATGGTTAAGAAGATAATAATCAGGTATTCATTTAATGGGAGAGTCTACTATTTCCTGGTAATCCTGCCTTCTTAAATTCCTCCAGTAAAGTTTATAGCCAGCAAGGACAAAAACACTGATCATAATGATTACCCCTCCAAAGACATCATAGATACTAGGAAATATGTGTAACACTAGAAGCTGCAAGACCATTGCTACCACAATCTCCAAATGTTGTACTGTGCTGACCAAAGCTGGATGGAATTTATCCAAGGCATAATAAACTCCTAAGAATGCTGCAGTAGAACAGACGCAAATAGCAATGAGATAACTCCAGGTTTCTACATCTAATGGGATAATGGGTTCTTGAAGAACAAACATAGTAGATATTCCCCAGACTGTCCCAGTCCAACCAAAGGTAAACAGTGCAGTCCACATGCTGATCTTCTCCTTAATGGATCTGTATACTATCATGGAAAGCGCAGTGGTCAGCCCAGCCATCACAGTCATAGTATATCCAAAGGCTTCTTTCCAAGCATTTAACGAGGAATTTTCTTCATTAACTATGTTGGGGATCATGACAAGACAAACACCTAAGATGCTACAAATAACTGTAGCCATGTCAATATAAGCCATTTTCTCATCTACAAGTAAAAAAGCCAAAACGGCACTGAAGACTGTGGTTGTGGCTCTCCACATAGTGGTCCCATTGCTGGGAGGAACTATAGAAAACGATGTATAAGCACAGGTGATAGAGATGACATTGCATATACCATAAAAGAAGAGTCGTAATCTATATCCACTGGGTCCAAAGGGGGCCTCCTGGTAGTAACACACAACTAACACAGATAAGACCTGCAAGACAGAACGGATAAAAATCAGTTCTAGAGATGGAACTTTAGAACGATCAGAAACAAGCCTAGTGATAAGAGCTACACATCCATGAGCCAAAGCAGATCCAAATAGCACTATCCACATTTTTCTGGATTGAAAAATGTTTTTTTCTGCAAAGCTTTGGAATTGTCCAATCTCATTTGTCATGGGGTCTTCTGTGGGTGGAGGTCGGGTATCCATGGTTCCAAAAAAAGTTCTTCCTTTTCTTTTCATTTCACTCAACAGGCCTTTCTTTGGATTTTCTTCCATAAAATTTCCATAATCTTCATTAATTTCTTCATATCCATTATCCCCAGGCTGGGGATAATGAGAAGTGTATTTCACCGTCACTGTGTTAGGATGTATTTTCACCCGTTTTTTAACTGGATATTTTTTGGAGGGAGAAGTATCCATTTCTTCCAGTAATTCTATTTAAGAAGAAAAAAAAGAGACAAATGTACATATTCAATTGAAATTTAGTTTTAATTTCTATTATAATCATATATACCAATTCAATAATAGAAAGAGGTTGTAACAGTTTTTTTTATTAATATGTATATTTTTTTATTGTTGACAGTATTACAGATGTCTCCCAGGAGTTTTTCTTTGTAAGTAACAGGAAGAGATCATTGGAATATGCCTCATCAGATGTATGAGACCCAATGAAATGACCTACCTTTTTCATTCTCATCTTAAGTCTGCCCCTGTTTCTCATTCTGCTTGTTCCTTGACTCATTCAGCTCTATTTCATATCTTTACATCGCAGACAACTGATATTTTTCCATCTTTTCATTCCTACCTGTGTGTCTACCCATCCAATAGGAAAAACATAACTTAGATCAGAACTTTCCTTCTCATTATGTTCATTTGTCTATATTATAAATTGTGGGTGGATAAGTCTAAGTCTTTTGTAAAATCACTTCTGTATAATACCAGAATTAGCCTTATATTACAAATTATAGTGATTTTTTAACATTTATTCTAGGCTCTCCATACATTTTTCAGATATATGGATACAAAGAAATTAAAAAATAAAATGGATTTAGTGACATTCATACATTGTTGCTGTACAACCTTCCTGATGACCATTTGGACAATATGTTTCTTAACAGATTTTACTGGATTTACTTCATACAATGGAACACTGTGCTATGCATCCATTAAAAACAACAATGCAGATTTTTACTGACGTGAAAAGATGTTCATGACATGTTGAGTGGGAAAAAAGTTAAGCTTCTTGTAAGGATTATATGAGATTAATGCATATAAAGAATTTTCCACAGTGCTGACATACCGTAAACTCTCAATAAATGTTAACAATAAATTCAGTTACCTTTCCCATATAATTAACTCTTTTGGAACACTGGATATCTTATACAATGTTATTCATTTCTTAAAAACTTGTGTTTGGCCTAGTCAGTGTGGGTCAGTGATTGAGCATCGACCTATGAACCAGGAGGTCACGGTTTGATTCCTGGTCAAGGCATATGCCTGGGTTGCGGGCTCAATCCCCAGTAGGGGGTGTGCAGGAGGCAGCCAATCAATGATTCTCTCTCATCATGGATGTTTCTATCTCTCTGTCCCTCTCCCTTCCTCTCTGAAATAAATTAAAATACGTATTTTTTAAAAAAACACACCTGTTTGTTCACTCAGCTCTCTTTCATTATTCATCCATCTAAGAACAATTTCTTTCTAAATGATTCCTCCTCTCCCCTCTAAAAAAGAAAGAAAGAAAGAAAGAAAGAAAAGAAAGAAACCTTATTTTTTTGTCCTCATGACAAACTTTCTATTCCTTGCCAAAAACCCATCAGTTCCAGGATCTTAAACCATGGTCCAGATAACAAATTCTATTTTGTTCTTTGACACCAACTGCTCCACTCCTATTTACTCCTTTCTCTTCTGAAGGACATCACCTTCAGTTGGAAGAAGTTATTTAAAAAAACACCACCTGTGCCTACAGGTCTTTCAGTTTCTCAGCCTGTACCTTTCACTTGCAGTCCTTGGTGCATATTGCTATCAAGCTAATCTGATGGGTTTTTTTCCAACTTGTATCAGGACATTTCCACTTCAAATCATAACTTCAGTCCTAGCCTGTTTGGTTAAGTGGTTAGGGTGTCGGCCTGCAGACTGAAGGGTCGTGGGTTCCATTCCGGTCAAGGGTACGGACCTCGGTTACAGGCTCAATCCTTGGCCCCAGTCGGAGTGTGTGAGGGAGGCAACCTGTCAATGTCTCTACCTCATCAATGTTTCTATCTCTGTGTCTCTCCCTACCCCCCTTCTATTCTCTCTAAGAAAATCAATGGAAAAAAATATCCTGGGATGAGAATTAACAACAAGAAAAAATCATGACTTCAATTTTAATAATCACAAATTGAATTAATTGTCATGGTCTCCTCACTTATGTTTGTAATACCACCATTCCTCCAGTTCCCCAAGTTAGAAACCAAGGAATACTCTGAGTTATCCTTTCTGGCACCACACTTCCATTTAGTCATCACTCTTGTTTTTTTAAAAAAATATTTTTTTATTTAAAAACGGAAGGGAGAAGGATAGAGATATAGAAACATCAATGATGAGAGAGAATCATTGATCAGCTGCCTCTTGCCCACCCCACACTGGGGATCAAGCCTGCAACCCAGGCATGTGCCTTGACCGGGAATCGAACTGTAACCTCCTGGTTCAGAGGTCAACGCTTAACCACTGAGCCACACTGGCTGGGCTATCTTTTGTCTTTAAAATATTTTCCTTTCTCCAATTCCATTTTCCTTTCTGTTTTGATTCTGTTTTGGTTATTGCTAATTCCTATTTAGAATATTGCAATAGCATCCTAACTAGCCCCCTTGAATCTCAATCCTTCCCCAAAATACATCTGTATTATACCACTATCATATTAATCTGTCTTTAAAAGACTCAAAACAAAAACTTCTCTTAAGCTTCCCCATTCTCTTTTCCTCTGCCTGGTTCTCAAGTCCCTGTCTAGTGTAGCTCCTATCAATACTTAGCTTCTTAGCACACATACTTTAATCCTGTGTTCTCCCTGTCCTCACTCCCCACATACATATCATTTCTGTAAGTCTTTATTCTCAATAGTTTCCCCTCTGCTCCAACTTTCTAAATAATGTTCATCTTTTATGAAGGTCCAGTCCCAATCTGCCTTTTAGAAATAAGCTTTCCTTAACCACTCTAGCCACTTTTTTTTTCTTCTTTGTTTAGTATCTGCAGTAGTTCTAATTTTTGTAATCTAATCATTTTGTTATTTAGTTGTCTCTGCTCAGTAGGGTTTTGTCTCCAGTCATTGGACCCAAACTTGCTATATTAAATCTCCTTTCCTTGCTAGTCATCCAGTATCTTAATGATATTTCAGATCATATAACTTCCCACTTGCTGTCCATTGTTAAAATTATGACATATCCATTCAGAGCTTCCCCCTTCCCTACTGCCTGCCAGATTTATAGCTCCAAGGCCATGAATAGGGAGAGGATGTGGTCTGTTATTTTAACTCTCCTTTGGAGAGTGTTGGGAGAGCAATATGGTCTGCCTCTGGGACACTTCCTCCATATCCCTCTTCTAGGCTCTAGCTCCCCTGGTTTATTGGCACAGGAAGGAAGGAAAAGGAAAGGGACACGTGTCTCATATATTGGCTGATGTTGTGTGATGGCTTTTTGATGTTTAAACTTGGCTAGGCTGAACTACATTCCCCAGTTATATCTTACCCTTTGATTGGCTTGATCCCTAAAAGTGGTAAAAAGTCTTAGGTATAAAGCTGGCTATTGAAACTTGATTATAATATAGTGGTTTAAATGTAGGCACTAATGTGATATTTGACACATAAGAGCTGATAGGTTACCACCTTATACCTAAACAGCCCCAATGTACTTAAACATCCTTGCCCTGAATGAATGTGAAAAGACTACAACCTAACTCAGCTGTGGGCAAACTACGGCCCGCGGGCCGGATCCGGCCCGTTTGAAATGAATAAAACTAAAAAAAAAAAAAGACCGTACCCTTTTATGTAATGATGTTTACTTTGAATTTATATTAGTTCACACAAACACTCCATCCATGCTTTTGTTCCGGCCCTCCGGTCCAGTTTAAGAACCCATTGTGGCCCTCGAGTCAAAAAGTTTGCCCACCCCTGAATTCCTAACTGGTCACCTAAAATGAAAGCCGCAACAACCATCTTTTTCAGGCTATCTTGAGACAACAGGACAAACATAGGATCTGTGCTGTTAAATGTTTCTCCTGAGACCTGTTGAGAGGAGCCTCTCCTTCCTCTGAACTGATGAAAAGGGGCTCATGTACTGAGGCCCCAAAGGCTGTCAGCATGATTCTACCCTCCTTATTCTAAACCCTGCCTGGAATGATGATAAGGCATAACCCTTAACTTCCCTCTTTGAATAGAGATTCTTCTCTCCCTTTCCCACTGCAACTCATGAGGATCAGAGGACTAGAGGCAGTATTTAAGTTTTTTTTAATATATATTTTTATTGTTTCAGAGAAGGAGAGAAAAACATCAATGATGAGAGAGAATCATCGATTGGTTGCCTCCTGCACGCCCTGCAACTCAGCATGTGCCCTGACCGGGGAATCAAACTGTGACCTCCTGGTTCATAGGTTGATGCTCAACCACTGAGCCCCACTGGCCTGGTAGCATTTAAGTTTGTTTGTGCTTTATTAAAACTTTTCAAGTCTGTATCTTTGTGTTAAAGCCCACTGCTTTAGAGAGAAAAGAATCTGCTTCTACGCTCTCTTTCAGAAAAGAAACTATTTTCATTTTCCTGAAATCGTAAGTTCTCTGACAGGAAACAGTGGTGATGATGACAAAATATCTGTGTAGAATGTAGGAAAAAGGCTCAGTCACATGGCCATCCCTGCTGCTGAGAATCGTACCCTAAAACCTGGCTTCCAAACTGAATTGCACACATTTTCACTCCTCTGGGCCTTTTCCCTGTGCCTCCTTTTGTCGTTTTATTCTCTTAGTGTATGACATAGTTAAGTTTTAAAAAATAGTATTTCCTCCAGTGTGTGTTTAGCGGGGAGGAGAGGAGACAACCTAAGTGCTTAAACAGATGAATGAATAAAGAAAATGTGGTATACCCATATAATCAACTATTATTCAGCCATAAGAAGGAATGAAATATACTACAGTATGGATGAACCTTTAAGACATTGTGCTAACTGAAATAAGCCAGATACAAAAGGACAAATATTGTATGATACCACTTATAAGAGGTATTTAGAATAGGCAAATTCATAAAAACAAAATAGATTAGACGTTACAAGGCCTGGGCGGAGCGGGGCGGAGGGGGGGGGAGGTGTAGAGAAACAGGTAATTATATTTAAAGGTTAGAGTTTCTGTTTGGGGTAATGAAAATGTTTTAGAAATAGGGGTGATTATTACACAATATTGTGAATGTATTTAATACCA